AACTGACCTAATCTGTGGGAAATGCTCAGCATAACAAGTGGCTTTCTATATAGTAGTATGTCATTGATTTCAGCTATGGACTGTATACCTTGTACATGTAGTGAACAAGCCCATTATAGTACTGGTAGAAATAAAGATATTATTATTACCTCTGGTGATGGCCTCACTGTGACTTGTGGTGATCAGTTAAGAGGCTCATCATACTTCTCTTCTCCATATTTTACATACAAGTACAGTGGACCCCCGGTTAACGAACTTTTTTCATTCCAGTAGTATGTTCAGGTGCCAGTACTGACCGAATTTTTTCCCATAAGGAATATTGTGAAGTAGATTAGTCAATTTCAGACCCCCAAACATACACGTATAAACGCACTTACATAAATACACTTACATAATTGGTCGCATTTGGAGGTGATCGTTATGCGGGGGTCCACTGTACTCCCACACATTTACATGATAGTGATCATTTTCCTATCATGCTCACCGCACATACGTATTCTCGACCTCTTTGTATCCCAGGTTGGCAGTCTGAATGGGTGAATTGGGCCATTTACTCACGTCAAACTGTTTTTAGACAGGAACCTTCTTTGTCCTCCTCTGACGAGTTGTTACAATTCCAGTGGTACCTCAAGTTATGAACTTAATTCGTTCCAGAAGGCTGTTCGAGTGCCGATACTGAACGAATTTGTTCCCATAAGGAATATTGTAAATTTGATTAGTCTATTTTGGACCCCCAAAAATACACTTACAAAAGAACTTACAAAAATACACTTACATAATTGTTCGAGTTGGGAGCTGTTCGAAACTCGGGGTACCACTGTACCTCAAACTTTGAGCTGCCACTCTCAGAAATGTGCCTTGGTATATAGTGGAACTTTATAACTGACTGTATACAGTGAAACTTTAAAAGACAAACTGTAGATTTAATAACAAAAAAAGGCACAATACCGTGACTGGAACGATACACAAATAACCCGCACATAAAAGAGAGAAGCTTATGACGATGTTTCGGTCCGACTTGGACCATTGACGTCGTCGTAAGCTTCTCTCTTTTATGTGAGGGTTATTTGTGTAGATTTAATTGCTGAAACCTTCAAAATTCAGGGGAGCACAGCCCCCTCCTGCTCTCTGGTGACCCCCAGCTCATTTCTCAGAGGGGGCAGCAACCCCCTTCACAAAACCCTGGCCAAGAAACTGCAACGATCATTAAGGTTATCAGTTTAATAAACAAATTCCACTATAAAAGTTCTATACATGTATTAGTAAGAACAAAGTTCGTCTAGTGTATAAGGGCCGTCCCGAACTTACAAACACTTATATAAACGTGTAAGATTATTATTAAACTTCTTCTATGATACACTTGTACGATCATTATTATTAAACTTGAACCCCAAGGATAAATTTTACTTATATCTATTGAGGGTTCTAAATTATTATTATTATTATTACGTATGGTTGTGTGGGTCCAGGTTATAGTCACACAGTATTGTATATTTAAGCCTAGGATAATGTAGGATAATCTAGAATAGCCCAAGGGTAATCTTGGTTAACTCTAGGATAAGCCAGGATAACCCTAGGATAACCCTAATGTAAGCTAGGATGACCCTAAGGTAAGCTAGGATAAGCCAGGATAACCCTAGGATAAGCTAGGATAACCCTAATGTAAGCTAGGATAAGCCAGGATAACCCTAGGATAAGCTAGGATAACCTTAAGGTAAACTAGGATAACCCTAAGGTAAGCTAGGATAACCCTAGGATAAGCCAGGATAACCCTAGGATAAGCTAGGATAACCCCAGGATAAGCTAGGATAACCATAGGGTAATCTAGGATATCCTCAGGATAACCTAGGATAATTTAAGATAACCTACAATAACCCTAGGATATTCTAGGATAACAGGATAATCTATGATAGCATGAGGATAAGCTAGGTTACCTGGATAAAGCCAGAGTCAGTCACTTGCACCTGGGGTTCAAGACAGTCATGTCAAGCAAGGTAGAGTCGCCTTGTTCCTAACCTCACACGGACTTCTATGAACATCTGATGAACACTGCGCTGTGAACACTGTAAGTGTTCGCAAGTCAGGGACTGTCCCTTGTATACAGTCAGTTCTATTACTAAGCGACTTTATACGGTGCGACTTTGAGAGCGTCTAAACAAGTTTGTCAACTGTGAACAGGTGAGAGGCCTTCATGGTACCAGGCCTTCATGGTACCAGGCCTTCATGGTACCAGGCCTTCATGGTACCAGGCCTTCATGGTACCAGGCCTTCATGGTACCAGGCCTTCAATAGGGGATGATTTTTTTTTCAGTTCCGTCTACAGAAAAATCGCTTTATAGAGAAGATTTATGAAAGAATTGACTGTATGTACGGTTAATTATAGTACAGTTATCTGAAGTACAGTCACCCATTCTTGAAGTACAGTCATCCATTCTTGGAGTAGTCATCCATTCTTGGAGTACAGTCACCCATTCTTGAAGTACAGTCATCCATTCTTGAAGTACAGTCATCCATTCTTGGAGTAGTCATCCATTCTTGGAGTACAGTCACCCATTCTTGAAGTACAGTCATCCATTCTTGAAGTACAGTCATCCATTCTTGGAGTACAGTCACCCATTCTTGAAGTACAGTCATCCATTCTTGAAGTACAGTCATCCATTCTTGAAGTACAGTCATCCATTCTTGAAGTACAGTCATCCATTCTTGGAGTACAGTCATCCATTCTTGGAGTACAGTCATCCATTCTTGAAGTACAGTCATCCATTCTTGAAGTACAGTCATCCATTCTTGGAGTACAGTCATCCATTCTTGAAGTACAGTCATCCATTCTTGGAGTACAGTCATCCATTCTTGAAGTACAGTCATCCATTCTTGAAGTACAGTCATCCATTCTTGAAGTACAGTCATCCATTCTTGAAGTACAGTCATCCATTCTTGAAGTACAGTCATCCATTCTTGAGTACAGTCATCCATTCTTGAAGTACAGTCATCCATTCTTGAAGTACAGTCATCCATTCTTGAAGTACAGTCATCCATTCTTGAAGTACAGTCATCCATTCTTGAAGTACAGTCATCCATTCTTGGAGTACAGTCATCCATTCTTGAAGTACAGTCATCCATTCTTGAGTACGTCCATCTTAAGTATCATCCATTCTTGAGTACAGTCATCCATTCTTGGAGTACAGTCATTCATCTGAGTCTCATCATTCTTGAGTACAGTCATCCATTCTTGGAGTACAGTCATCCATTCTTGAAGTAGTCATCCATTCTTGAAGTACAGTCATCCATTCTTGGAGTACAGTCATTCATTCTTGGAGTACAGTCATCCATTCTTGGAGTACAGTCATTCATTCTTGGAGTACAGTCATCCATTCTTGAGTAGTATCCATTCTGGAGAAGTCATCCATTCTTGAAGTAAGTCATCCATTCTTGGAGTACAGTCATCCATTCTTAAAGTACAGTCATCCATTCTTGGAGTACAGTCATCCATTCTTGGAGTACAGTCATTCCATTCTTGGGTACAGTCATCCATTCTTGGAGTACAGTCATCATTCTTGGAGTACAGTCATCCATTCTTGGAGTACAGTCATCCATTCTTGGAGTACAGTCATCCATTCTTAAAGTACAGTCATCCATTCTTGGAGTACAGTCATCCATTCTTGGAGTACAGTCATCCATTCTTGAAGTACAGTCATCCATTCTTGAAGTACAGTCATCCATTCTTGGAGTACAGTCATCCATTCTTGAAGTACAGTCATCCATTCTTGGAGTACAGTCATCCATTCTTGAAGTAGTCATCCATTCTTGGAGTACAGTCATCCATTCTTGGAGTACAGTCATTCATTCTTGGAGTACAGTCATTCATTCTTGGAGTACAGTCATCCATTCTTGGAGTACAGTCATCCATTCTTGAAGTAGTCATCCATTCTTGAAGTACAGTCATTCATTCTTGGAGTACAGTCATCCATTCTTGGAGTACAGTCATCCATTCTTGAAGTACAGTCATTCATCTTGAGTACAGTCATCCATTCTTGAAGTAAGTCATCCATTCTTGGAGTAAGTCATTCCATTCCTTGAGTACAGTCATCCATTCTTGAAGTACAGTCATCCATTCTTAAAGTACAGTCATCCATTCTTGGAGTACAGTCATCCATTCTTGGAGTACAGTCATCCATTCTTGGGGTACAGTCATCCATTCTTGGAGTACAGTCATCCATTCTTGAGACAGTACATCCATTCTGAGTACAGTCATCCATTCTTGAGTACAGTCATCCATTCTTGAAGTACAGTCATCCTTCTTGGAGTACAGTCATCCATTCTTGAGTACAGTCATCCATGGCAGTCATCTTCTTGGAGTACAGTCATCCATTTTGAAGTACAGTCATCCATTCTTGAAGTACAGTCATCCATTATTCCAGTCATTGTGCCTCTGAAGTACAGTCATCCATTCTTAAAGTATAAGTTTCACTATCCAGTTACAGTCTTCCACTCGATCAATAAGTTCATCCATCTTGGAGTCGTTCATCTTGAAGTACAGTGCATCCATTTTACAGTCATCTGTCTTGAAGGTCATCCATCATTCTTAAAGTACGCTTCACCATCCAGTAGTGTCCCTCATCAAGTACAGTCATCCAGCTTGAAGTACGTCTCCGGTCTTGGAGTACAGGATCCAGTCTTGAACCACTGTCATCCATTTTGAACTACAGTCATCAGTTTGACTACGTCACCGAGTCTTGAGACTCCCTACGCAGTGTTGGTGGCCTCGAGACGTCTCGCAGTTCTTGGGTTTGGAAGTACTATTAAGTTTCACCCATGATGCGGAAGTTCTCCAGCTGGGGATCCTAGAAGTGCTGGCTCCCTGCCGACTGGCACCACATGCTGTCAAGTGCCCCGGCCGTCTTATGCAAGTGCCACTGCTGAGGTGGAGTTCGATGGGTATGACCACCTGGCAAATCATGGTCCACCGAGTGTGGGACCCTGTCGTCGTTATTGGTGGTACCTCAGGCTGGCGGCCGGTGGAAGGTGCCTTGTACACCTTGCCTGGGGCGCTTGATGCTGCCAGCGAGGCAGTCCAAGCCTGCCTGAAGCTGGTGATCAATGGTGGAGTTCATGGTCAACACCTGAAAGCCACCGATACTGGTGTTCTCTTTCTCGGTGGTACAACTGGCGCTCTTGGAACTCTTCTGAGATTCTCGGCGGGAGGTGGAAGGTCCAGCCTGATCCACGTTCTCCTTTTCCATGCTGTTCTTCAGGCACTCTTGAAGATACTCTTTGCGACTCTCGGTAATGGCACTCAGCATACCTGAAACACACATGAATACATATAAATACAGGGAATATGTTCCAAGACCTGCCATAGATACCCAAAACCATGGATAGTGGTGAACCCTATAAGTCATTTTTTGTTTACATACATATCTATTTTTAATTATTATTTGTAAATTACCTGCAGGAGGCTTACAGGGCCTTACTTGAATTATTACCTGCAAGTAATTTGGGTGAGGTAAGTGGGACTCAACCTGTAAACGATCCAAGCAGATCTATGTTTACATGTGTTGTGCTACAAAAGTAGATCTACATTTTTTTTTTTACACATTTTCAAATGTAAAAAAACAAAAAGAAGATCTACTTGTTTTACATACTTTCAAATGTTGAAAAAACGTATATATACGTTTGGACCGTTTACGGGTTAAATCATAGCAAGTCGCCTAATTGTAACTCCCTCGGTGCCCGCTTCCTCACCACTCTCACAACATTAAATTATTAATTACAATATTAAACATTAATACCAATAAGGGTAAATTATAAAATAATGTGGACTGTATATGACTAGGATTGCTGGGAACACAAAAGAAATTGGTATTAACATTTGCCATTTAATTACTGGAAGACAATGCTGATGGAACACACCCAAACATTACCCTACCAGCTAGGATTTACAATGGCCAATGCAAAAATTACTGTACATTATGGGTAAGCATCACTTAGCTAAGGTGTGTTGTTGGGAAAGATTCATTGAAGTCCTCTATTTTTCCGCCCTGGTTGCCAAATTGTAAGGGCTTCCCACACTATTTATCCCAATTCTTTGGCATGAACGTGTCAGCAATTTCTAAATTATGGCTTGAGGAGAATATATACCAAATAACCTTCGAGAACGCCTGATTACATTGCACAATTCAGTCCAGTATTCACACATTAAATTCAATATGGCGTCTCTCCCAGTATCACTCCCCCGCAGCTGTTCTACGTCCCCTCACTTGAAATTTCTCGCAAGGGTCAAATCGGGATCATATTTTATTACACAATTATATTATTTATGTTCAACATTTAGGAAATTATGTAAAAAAATTCCACAATACCTATGATGAAGTTTAATTGATAAATTATACAAAATAAGTCTAGAATTATCACTTTTTCACCGATGAGAAGCATTTCCCAACTTTTCTTAGGCTTTGAAGAACTGCCGACTTTTCTACTTATGCACTTTGGGGCCATTATTAAGCAAAATTAAGGGCTATTTTTGGGCCACAGTAAACCGTGGATAACGGAAACCCCAGATATCGAATCCGTGGATATAGGGGTTCTACTGTACATACAAATACTCTCCACAGGTAAGTGGAAAAGAATCCTTCCTGTGTAAGCCATGCGTGTTGTAAGAAACATCTAAAATGCTGGGAACAAGGGGGTAGTAGCCCCTTCTCCTGTATAAATTACTAAATGTAAAAAGTATTTAATATACAGGAGCTCCTTGACTTACAAAATTTCAACTTTATGTTAGTGCAAAAGTAATTACTTTGGAGATGAAACTTAAGATAATTACCCAGCATGAAGGTGACACGTCCCTAACTTGTATTCATTTACTGACTTTTCAATATTTTTTTTTTTTTTATTATCACACTGGCCGATTCCCACCAAGGCAGGGTGGCCCGAAAAAGAAAAACTTTCACCATCATTCACTCCATCACTGTCTTGCCAGAAGGGTGCTTTACACTACAGTTTTTAAACTGCAACATTAACACCCCTCCTTCAGAGTGCAGGCACTGTACTTCCCATCTCCAGGACTCAAGTCTGGCCTGCCGGTTTCCCTGAATCCCTTCATTAATGTTACTTTGCTCACACTCCAACAGCATGTCAAGCATTAAAAACCATTTGTCTCCATTCACTCCTATCAAACACGCTCACGCATGCCTGCTGGAAGTCCAAGCCCCTCGCACACAAAACCTCCTTTACCCCCTCCCTCCAACCCTTCCTAGGCCGACCCCTACCCCGCCTTCCTTCCACTACAGACTGATACACTCTTGAAGTCATTCTGTTTCGCTCCATTCTCTCTACATGTCCGAACCACCTCAACAACCCTTCCTCAGCCACTGGACAACAGTTTTGGTAATCCCGCACCTCCTCCTAACTTCCAAACTACGAATTCTCTGCATTATATTCACACCACACATTGCCCTCAGACATGACATCTCCACTGCCTCCAGCCTTCTCCTCGCTGCAACATTCATCACCCACGCTTCAACACCCATATAAGAGCGTTGTAAAACTATACTCTCATACATTCCCCTCTTTGCCTCCAAGGACAAAGTTCTTTGTCTCCACAGACTCCTAAGTGCACCACTCACTCTTTTTCCCTCATCAATTCTATGATTCACCTCATCTTTCATAGACCCATCCGCTGACACGTCCACTCCCAAATATCTGAATACGTTCACCTCCTCCATACTCTCTCCCTCCAATCTGATATTCAATCTTTCATCATCTAATCTTTTTGTTATCCTCATAACCTTACTCTTTCCTGTATTCACCTTTAATTTTCTTCTTTTGCACACCCTACCAAATTCATCCACCAATCTCTGCAGCTTCTCTTCAGAATCTCCCAAGAGCACAGTGTCATCAGCAAAGAGCAGCTGTGACAACTCCCACTTTGTGTGTGATTTCTTTATCTTTTAACTCCACGCCTCTTGCCAAGACCCTCGCATTTACTTCTCTTACAACCCCATCTATAAATATATTAAACAACCACGGTGACATCACACATCCTTGTCTAAGGCCTACTTTTACTGGGAAAAAATTTCCCTCTTTCCTACATACTCTAACTTGAGCCTCACTATCCTCGTAAAAACTCTTCACTGCTTTCAGTAACCTACCTCCTACACAATACACTTGCAACATCTGCCACATTGCCCCCCTATCCACCCTGTCATACGCCTTTTCCAAATCCATAAATGCCACAAAGACCTCTTTAGCCTTATCTAAATACTGTTCACTTATATGTTTCACTGTAAACACCTGGTCCACACACCCCCTACTTTCCTAAAGCCTCCTTGTTCATCTGCTATCCTATTCTCCGTCTTACTCTTAATTCTTTCAATTATAACTCTACCATACACTTTAACCAGGTACACTCAACAGACTATCCCCCTATAATTTTTGCACTCTCTTTTATCCCTTTGCCTTTATACAAAGGAACTATGCATGCTCTCTGCCAATCCCTAGGTACCTTACCCTCTTCCATACATTTATTAAATAATTGCACCAACCACTCCAAAACTAATATCCCCACCTGCTTTTAACATTTCTATCTTTATCCCATCAATCCCGGCTGCCTTACCCCCTTTCATTTTACCTACTGCCTCACGAACTTCCCCCACACTCACAACTGGCTCTTCCTCACTCCTACAAGATGTTATTCCTCCTTGCCCTATACACGAAATCACAGCTTCCCTATCTTCATCAACATTTAACAATTCCTCAAAATATTCCCTCCATCTTCCCAATACCTCTAACTCTCCATTTAATAACTCTCCTCTCCTATTTTTAACTGACAAATCCATTTGTTCTCTAGGCTTTCTTAACTTGTTAATCTCACTCCAAAACTTTTTCTTATTTTCAACAAAATTGTTGATAACATCTCACCCACTCTCTCATTTGCTCTCTTTTTACATTGCTTCACCACTCTCTTAACCTCTCTCTTTTTCTCCATATCTCTCCCTCCTTTGCATCACTTCTACTTTGTAAAAACTTCTCATATGCTAACTTTTTCTCCCTTACTACTCTCTTTACATCATCATTCCACCAATCGCTCCTCTTCCCTCCTGCACCCACTTTCCTGTAACCACAAACTTCTGCTGAACACTCTAACACTACATTTTTAAACCTACCCCATACCTCTTCGACCCCATTGCCTATGCTCTCATTAGCCCATCTATCCTCCAATAGCTGTTTATATCTTACCCTAACTGCCTCCTCTTTTAGTTTATAAACCTTCACCTCTCTCTTCCCTGATGCTTCTATTCTCCTTGTATCCCATCTACCTTTTACTCTCAGTGTAGCTACAACTAGAAAGTGATCTGATATATCTGTGGCCCTCTATAAACATGTACATCCTGAAGTCTACTCAACAGTCTTTTATCTACCAATACATAATCCAACAAACTACTGTCATTTCGCCCTACATCATATCGTGTATACTTATTTATCCTCTTTTTCTTAAATATGTATTACCTATAACTAAACCCTTTCTATACAAAGTTCAATCAAAGGGCTCCCATTATCATTACACCTGGCACCCCAAACTTACCTACCACACCCTCTCTAAAAGTTTCTCCTACTTTAGCATTCAGGTCCCCTACCACAATTACTCTCTCACTTGGTTCAAAGGCTCCTATACATTCACTTAACATCTCCCAAAATCTCTCTCTCTCCTCTGCATTCCTCTCTTCTCCAGGTGCATACACGCTTATTATGACCCACTTCTCGCATCCAACCTTTACTTTAATCCACATAATTCTTGAATTTACACATTCATATTCTCTTTTCTCCTTCCATAACTGATCATTTAACATTACTGCTACACCTTCCTTTGCTCTAACTCTCTCAGATACTCCAGATTTAATCCCATTTATTTCCCCCCACTGAAACTCTCCTACCCCCTTCAGCTTTGTTTCGCTTAGAGCCAGGACATCCAACTTCTTTTCATTCATAACATCAGCAATCATCTGTTTCTTGTCATCCGCACTACATCCACGCACATTTAAGCATCCCAGTTTTATAAAGTTTTTCTTCTTCTCTTTTTTAGTAAATGTATACAGGAGAAGGGGTTACTAGCCCATTGCTCCCGGCATTTTAGTCGCCTCATACGACACGCATGGCTTACGGAGGAAAGATTCTTTTCCACTTCCCCATGGACAATAGAAGAAATAAAAAAGAACAAGAGCTATTTAGAAAAAGGAGAAAAACCTAGATGTATGTATATATATATGCATGTGCGTGTCTGTGAAGTGTGACCAAAGTGTAAGTTGGAGAAGCAAGATATCCCTGTTATCTAGCGTGTTTATGAGACAGAAAAAGAAACCAGCAATCCTACCATCATGCAAAACAGTTACAGGTTTTTGTTTCACAGTCATTTGGCAGGACGGTAGTACTTCCCTGGGTGGTTGCTGTCTACCAACCTACTACCTATTCTTTTCAATACTGGTATTAAAATAACAAAAAAAGGCACAATACCGTGACTGGAACGATACACAAATAACCCGCACACAGAAGAGAGGAGCTTACGACTTTGTAAATGGTCCAAGTCGGACCGAAATGTCGTCGTAAGTTCCTCTCTTCTATGTGCGGGTTATTTGTGTATAATACTGGTATTTAGTTACAGTAATTATTTGTTTATTTGCTTATTCAGTGACAGTAGTTATTTATTTATCGACAGACGATATTTTTGACTTACAGTGAGGTCATTGGAACATAACCCCATTGTAAGCTGAGGACCACTTGTACATACAAATACTGTACATATAAACATGCGTAAACTCACATAGACACAGTAGACCATTGATTAAAATGCAATCTTCTGTGACATTTTTGATGTACAATGGTTGCAAAATTGCTGCATTTTTTCGATTATGGCTTTGTGAAATTCATCTATGACGGTGCAACTTTATGGGAAAAATTTGGAGTACCACGAGGCTGAACTGCAGGACCTTTCCTCTCAGTCTCGTGGGCAGCCCAGTCTGTGGGTCAGGGCAGCCCAGTCTGTGGGTCAGGGCAGCCCAGTCTGTGGGTCAGGGCAGCCCAGTCTGTGGGTCAGGGCAGCCCAGTCTGTGGGTCAGGCTGCATCGTCCTAGTAAGGAAGGCCTAGCTTACTACCCCATCCTGCTCCTCACGTCTCAGTGCTCTGTGTCTGCAAATCAATTTTTGATTCGCAAACACAAGACAAATGTGTAACAGAAGATGCCAGCAAGAACTTACATCAGCCAGCAAGAACTTACATCAGCCAGCAAGAACTTACATCAGCCAGCAAGAACTTACATCAGCCAACAAGAACTTACATCAGCCAACAAGAACTTACATCAGCCAACAAGAACTTACATCAGCCAGCAAGAACTTACATCAACCAACAAGAACTTACATCAGCCAGCAAGAACTTACATCAACCAACAAGAACTTACATCAGCCAACAAGAACTTACATCAGCCAACAAGAACTTACATCAGCCAACAAGAACTTATATCAGTCAGCAAGGGAAAAGTGCCCCAAGATTCAAGGGAGCAAAGGATCACTTCAGCTTACTACTCTGCAGTAATGCATCAGGTGATGTCAAGAGTAAGCCCAGTGTTATTATTTACCACTCCAAGACTTCCCATGCTTTGAAAGGTGTACAAAAACCCATGTTACCAGGTCTCTGAAGGTCAAACCAGTCAGCATGGATGACAGAGCAATTAACTGGTTTAAACTTCATTCCTGAAGTTCTGTTTCATCTGCATAGCAAGAACCTTGAACTCGGGGTTCTTTTCACACCTGATAATCCCCGTATTCATCCAGAACTCTCAGTGGGTGTGCGTACACATGTAAAAGCTGTGTTTTAACCATTAAATACAATGAATGGATTATGGAGTTATCAGGTTGTTCAAGTGTAACTACACGCAAAAAGTGACATGGAAATTAGTTGCATCAATGGATGCCGACTCTGAGCTTGCAGTGCTACACTTCTGGCCTAAATTTAACATTGCAGATGCCACCAACTATGTTAGAAGTTTATGGAACAAGGTGCCTCAATCAACACTAAGTGCAGCCCGGGGAAAGTTGTGGCCTAGTGTGGCACACTTTTACGGGTTCTCCCTCAGGTGAGAACTAGGTGCAGGAAAGTGTTCACCTGGCAAGGTGATTATCAGATGCAGGAGATTGTTCACCTAGGAAGGTGATGTACACAAACATGATGTGAATAAACTGCTAGATGATGACGAGGGGACACAGTCTAAATAGTCCACAAGGAATACTGGCAGAGCTCAACATTTTTTATGGACCATGGAACTTAACCCTATTATACCCTTATGTTCTTTAGTTTGTTTTACACGATACATACACAACACATACACAAGATTAGATTAGATTTTGCCACCGAAGTGGCTAGTTTATTGTGCACCCCATATCCATCCTGTGGACGGTAGCGCAAGAGCATATGGATACACAAAAGGCCTAGGAACTAGGCCCCAAAGGGTTAACAGGAATACATATGGATTTATATCTACATATCTATAGTTCACTTATCTTTTACAAGCAAATTTAGGAAATTTGCTTAGTATATCTGGTATCTTATTTTCATTAATAAGATATCTTGACATGTCACATAGGTTATTATACTGTCTATCTGTGTTCCTCAATGAGTGGACAATTAAGCACCTAGCAACACATACACAAGTGTATTGTAATACACACAAATGTATGGTGAAATACACAACACATTCATGGGTGTAGGGTAATACACAGAGGACATATGTAGGTGTATCATACATACCAAGGTCATTGAGAGCGTTGTTGACAGTGCCAATGTTGTATACTTCAGTGGCACTGCTGGCACTGCTGACACTCATCACTATACCTGACAACAAACATATATTATTATCATTGTTATTATTAGTTTTTATTTTTTATTTTATTATTGTTATTATTATTATTGTGGGGGTTAGTGCTTAGCCATATCTTCCCCTCTTGACATATTAATCAATCAATGACTTTCTATGTTATGATCCTATCTCCTCCAGCCTAGGATCTCTCTAGATTATCACAAATGAGCTGACATTCTAAAGGTATCGAAGACACTAAGTGTTTTGGCCATATACGTGTCAGCCGGTGCCCAGGGGCACTCAAGTATCTTGCACTAGTAATCGGGTATCTGTCCCTGGCGATGCTGCAGGCAACACCTACTTAGCGATGGCAGTGTTACTGGTCTAGAGAGTCAAATGAATGGCAGTGGGCTGCAATTCATGGCGAAGGTTGGGTCCTAGATAAGTCGTGGTGTGCAATTCTGATCATCGGGGTTTTGAATCCTAGGTGTTGCCACCTGGTGAGCCTGACAATGGTCACTTCACCAGCCAGTGTACTGGGTAACTACACCTGGGTCTTGGACCAGGAGCTAGGTGTCAATAAGTCACTCCAGCCAGTGTACTGGGCAACAATAAAACAAGAATAACACTGAAACAAGATTTAGATTTTGCCACCAAAGTGGCAAGTTTACTGTGCACAATATATCCATCCTGTGGATGGTAGCACCGAGCTCCGATCAAATCAAATCATATCAAATCAAGATTATTCTCTACAGAGATTACACATTATAGGATATTGTGTGGTTTACATATTATAAAATACTAATTACAGAGAGGGCCACTTTCACATCTAGCATGACAAGGCATTTCAGGTAGACTAAGATACACAATAGGCCTAGGAACTAGGCCCCAGAAGCATTTAAAGGAGTACATCTGGATTTATATCTACAGTTCACTTATCTGTTGCAAGCAAATTTAGAAATTTTGCTTGATATGAATGGAATCTTATTATCATTATCTAGATATATTAACATAAGAACATAAGAAAGGAGGATCACTGCAGCAGGCCTCTTGGCCCATACTAGGCAGGTCCTTTACAATCCATCCCATTAACAAAACATTTGCCCAACCCAATTTTAATGCTACCCAAGAAATAATCTCTGATAACTCTATCTACTCATTTGCAAGTCCCAATCAGATGCAACCCCTCTCACTCATGTATTTATACAACCTAAATTTGAAACTACCCAAAGTCCTAGCCTCAATAACCCAACTAGGTAGACTGTTCCACTCATCAACTACCCAATTTCCAAACCAATACTTTCCTATGTCCTTTCTAAATCTAAACTTGACTAATTTAAATCCATTAAGTCTAATTTAAATTCATTAAATAGGTTATTACACTTATTTATATTCCTCAATAAGTGGACGATTAAGCAAAGAGTGTTCAAGATAGTGACCATACGCCTGGCTATATACTTTGTATTTTGTTTCATCATCATCATGTGTGTCTGTCAGACTGTCAGAAGTACTTGTAACCAAGCCTAAGCCAGGCTACTACAACATCACACTGTCAGAAGTACTTGTAACCAAGCCTAAGCCAGGCTACTACAACATCACACTGTCAAAGTACTTTAACAAGCCAAAACCGGCTACTACAACATCACACTGTCAAAGTACTTTTTAACAAGCCTAACTGGGGTCTAAACATCACACTGTCAAAAACTTTTAACTAAGCCTAAGTCTGGGTACACAACAACACAGTCAGAAGTACTTTTTAACTAAGCCAAGCCCGGGTACACAACAAACCTTCAGAAGTACTTGTAACTAACCTAAGCTGGCTACTACAAACCCCCACACGTCAAAGTACTTGTAACAAAAACCCAAGCTGGTACTACAACATCACACTCAAAAACTTGAACCAACCTAAGCCGGGTACTACAACATCACAAAACTTTTCAGAAGTACCCTTGTAAAACTTCAAGCCTAACCAGGCCCCAACAACCCCACTGCAGAAGTAAATTTTAACAAAACCAAAAACGGCTACTACAACACACACGTCAGAAGTACTTGAACTAAGTCTAAACCCGGGTACACAAAAAGAAACCTCACCCTCCACAAAAAACAATCACCCCACCCCAAAAAAAAACAAGTCACCCTCCACAACAGAAAAAAGTCACCCTACACAACAGAACAAGCACTCCCCCCACAACAGAACAAGTCACTTTTCCACAACAAAAAAGTTACTCCCCACAACAAACAAGTCCTCCCCCCACAACAGAACAATCACTTCTCCACAACAGAACAATTTACCCTCCACAACAGAACAAGTCACTCCCCTGAACACAACAGAACAAGTCACCCCCCACAACAGAAACAAATCATCCTCCCCAAAAAACACAACAGAAATCACCCCCACAAAAGAAAGTCACTCCTCCACAACAGAACAATCCCCTCCACAACAGAACAAATCACTTCTCCACAACAAAACAAGTCACTTTCCTCCAAACAGAACAAGTCACTCCTCCACAAAACAACAGAACAAGTCACCCTCCACAACAGAACAAACACCCTCCCCAACACAACAGAACAAGTCCTCCCCACAACAAACAAGAACACTCCTCCACAACAAACAATCACTTCCCCACAAAAGAACAAGTCCGTCCTCCACAAAAAACAAGTCAACCCCCACAAAAAACAATTCACTCCCCCAACGAACAAGTCACTTTCCCCACAACAGAACAAAAAACTCCTCCCCCAAAAAACAATCCCTCCTCCACAACAAAAAAGTTCCCCTCCCCACAAACAGAACAAGTCACCCTCCACAAAAGACCATCCCCCAAACAGGACAAGTCACTCCCCCACAACAAACAAGTCACTCCTCCACAACACAACAGAGCAAGTCACCCCCCCACAACAGAACAAGTCACCCCACAACAAGCAAAAACAGAACAAAAACCCCACCCAAAAAAAACAAGTCAAACCTCCACAACAGAACAAGTCACCCCCACAACAGAACAACACTCCCCACAACAAACAAGTCACCCTCCCCAAACAAACAAGTCATCCTCCACAAAAAACAAGTCACTCCCCACAACAGAACAAGTCACTCCCCACAAAAAACAATCACTTCCACAAAAAAACAAGCACCCTCCACAACAAACAATCACTCCTCCACACGAAAAGTCACCCTCCACAACAAACAAATCACTCCCCCAAACAGAACAAGTCACTCCCACAACAAACAAGTCACTCCTCCCCCAACAAACAATCACTCCTCCACAACAGAACAACCACCCTCCACAACGAACAAATCACCCTCCACAAAGAACAATCACTTCCCCCACAACAAACAAGTCACCCTCCACAACAAAAACAACCACTCCTCCACAACAGAACAAGTCACTCCCCCACAACAGAACAGTACTCCCCACAAAGAACAAATCACCCTCCCTAACAAACAAACACTCTTCCACAACAGAACAAGTCACTCCCCACAACAGAACAATCACTCCTAACAACAAACAGGTCCTCCCCACAACAGAACAAGTCACTTCTCCACAACAGAACAAGTTACCCCCACAACAGAACAAATCCTCCACAACGAACAAGTCAAATTCTCCACAACAAACAAGTCACTCCCCACACAGAACAATCACCCCCAAAAACCAACAAACAATCACCCTCCACAACAAACAAGTCCTCCTCCCCAACACAACAGAACAAATCCCCCCACAACAGAAAAAGTCACCCTCCAAACAGAACAAGTCACTTCTCACAACAAACAATCACTTCTCCCCAACAAACAATCACTCCCCACAACAAAAAAGTCACTCCTCCACAACAGAACAAGTCACTCCTCCAAACACAAAAGAACAAGTCACCCCCCACAACAGAACAAGACACTCCCCCACAACAGAACAAGTCACTCCTCCACAACAGAACAAGTCACTCCTCCACAACAGAACAAGTCACTCCTCCACAACAGAACAGAACAAGTCACTCCTCCACAAGAGAACAAGTCACTCCTCCACAAGAGAACAAGTCACTCCTCCACAAGAGAACAAGTCACTCCTCCACAACAGAACAAGTCACTCCTCCACAACAGAACAACAGAACAAGTCACTCCTCCACAACAGACCAACAGAACAAGTCAGTCCTCCACAACAGAACAAGTCAGTCCTCCACAACAGAACAAGTCACTCCTCCACAACAGAACAAGTCACTCCTCCACAACAGAACAAGTCACTCCTCCACAACAGAACAAGCCACTCCTCCACAACAGAACAAGTCACTCCTCCACAACAGAACAAGTCACTCCTCCACAACAGAACAAGTCAATCCTCCACAACAGAACAAGCCACTCCTCCACAACAGAACAAGTCACTCCTCCACAACAGAACAAGTCACTCCTCCACAACAGAACAAGTCACTCCTCCACAACAGAACAAGTCACTCCTCCACAACAGAACAAGTCACTCCTCCACAACAGAACAAGTCACTCCTCCACAACAGAACAAGTCACTCCTCCACAACAGAACAAGTCACTCCTTCACAACAGAACAAGTCACTCCTCCACAACAGAACAAGTCACTCCTCCACAACAGAAAATCACTCCTCCACAACAGAACAAGTCACTCCTCCACAAAAGAACAAGTCACTCCTCCACAACAGAACAAGTCACTCCTACAACAGAACAAGTCACTCCTCCACAACAGAACAAGTCACTCCTCCACAACAGAACAAGTCACTCCTCCCCAACAGAACAAGTCACTCCACAACAGAACAAGTCACTCCACAACAGAACAAGTCACTCCTCCACAACAGAACAAGTCACTCCTCCACAACAGAACAAGTCACTCCTCCACAACAGAACAAGTCACTCCTCCACAACAGAACAAGTCACTCCTCCACAACAGGACAAGTCACTCCTCCACAACAGAACAAGTCACTCCTCCACAACAGAAACAACAGAACAAGTCACTCCTCCACAACAGAACAAGTCACTCCTCCACAACAGAACAAGTCACTCCTCCACAACAGAACAACAGAACAAGTCACTCCTCCACAACAGAACAAGTCACTCCTCAAGAACAGAACAACAGAACAAGTCACTCCTCCACAACAGAACAAGTCACTCCTCCAGAACAGAACAAGTCACTCCTCCACAACAGAACAACAGAACAAGTCACTCCTCCACAACAGAACAAGCCACTCCTCCACAACAGAACAAGCCACTCCTCCACAACAGAACAAGTCACTCCTCCACAACAGAACAAGTCACTCCTCCACAACAGAACAAGTCACTCCTCCACAACAGAACAACAGAACAAGTCATTAACCACCACCTTTAACCTCCCCCCACAAGCCTCCCCCACCTTCCCTCCCCTCCTCCCCCACCACAACCCCCCACCAACCCCCCAGGTAGACACCCAGGTAGATAAAACTAGATAAAACCCACCTGAAGCTGAAATAAAACCTTAAAACAGAGAGAAGTAGCGGCGGCGGCGGCGGCGGCCATGACACTCACTGAGAATGTAAACAAACTTATGTAAATAAAGGTTTTTTACGGTTTACAGTTTACATTGAGGGTTTTTGGCCTTTTTTTAACTTGGTTTTGGTTATCTTGGACTTTTTAAGTGGTTTTCCGATTAGTTTGAGGTTTATTTGTGTGGTTTATTGTGTTTTTTTAACGATTTTCGGGGTAACTATTTTAAAATTGTTATTATTTTACTTCTCACGGTTTAAACTGAGGGTTTAACTTTTATATTCTACTTGGTTTTGGTTTACTGAGATTTTTCAATAGGGTTTTAGTGGCTTTGGTTTAGATTAATGTGGTTTTTTACGGTTTTAATTGATTTTTAGCTATAACTATTTTAAAACAAATAATACTTTTACGGTTTAGTTTACCCTGAAAGGTCCGGGGTTTTTGTTTTTTTGGTTTTTTGGTTTACTGATATTATTTAATGCGGTTTTCGAAGCTTTGGTTTTTGTTAATGTGGTTTTTCTGGGTTTTAATCGATAACTATTTTATAACCATTATTAGTTTTACCATTTACAATTTACAGAAAGTTTCCAGGGGTCAACGCCCCCTGGAACGGTCTGTGACAAGGCCTCATAGTGGATCAGGGTCTGATCAAGCAAGCTGTTGCTGCTGGCTGCACGGAAACTGAAGTACGAACACAGCCTGGTTGGTCAGGTACTGACTTGAGGTGCCTGTCCGGTGCCTTATTGAAGACTGCCAGGGGTCTTGAAGACAGCCAGGGGTCTTGAAGACTACCAGGGGTCTTGAAGACAGCCAGGGGTCTTGAAGACTGCCAGGGGTCTTGAAGACAGCCAGGGGTCTTGAAGACAGCCAGGGGTCTTGAAGACAGCCAGGGATCTTGAAGACAGCCAGGGATCTTGAAGACAACCAGGGGTCTTGAAGACAGCCAGGGGTCTTGAAGACAGCCAGGGGTCTTGAAGACAGCCAGGGGTCTTGAAGACAGCCAGGGGTCTTGAAGACAACCAGGGGTCTTGAAGACAGGGGGTCTTGAAGACAGGGGTCTTGAAGACGGCCAGGAGCCTTGAAGACAGCCAGGAGTCTTGAAGACAGCCAGGGGTCTTGAAGACAGCCAGGGGTCTTGAAGACAGCCAGGGGTCTTGAAGACAGCCAGGGGTCTTGACAACCAGGGGTCTTGAAGACAGCCAGGGGTCTTGAAGACAGCCAGGGGTCTTGAAGACAGCCAGGGTCTTGAAGACAGCCAGGGGTCTTGAAGACAGCCAGGGGTCTTGAAGACAGCCAGGGGTCTTGAAGACAGCCAGGGTCTTGAAGACAGCCAGGGGTCTTGAAGACAGCCAGGGGTCTTGAAGACAGCCAGGAGTCTTGAAGACAGCCAGGGGTCTTGAAGACAGCCAGGGGTTTTGAAGACAGGGGTCTTGAAGACGGCCAGGAGCCTTGAAGACAGCCAGGAGTCTTGAAGACAGCCAGGGGTCTTGAAGACAGCCAGGGGTCTTGAAGACAGCCAGGGGTCTTGAAGGCAGCCAGGAGTCTTGAAGACATCCAGAAGTCTTGAAGACAACCAGGGGTCTTGAAGACAACCAGGGGTCTTGAAGACAACCAGGGGTCTTGAAGACTGCCAGGGGTCTTGAAGACAGCAAGGGGTCTTGAAGACAGCCAGGAGTCTTGAAGACAACCAGGAGTCTTGAAGACAGCCAGGGGTCTTGAAGGCAGCCAGGAGTCTTGAAGACATCCAGAAGTCTTGAAGACAACCAGGGGTCTTGAAGACAACCAGGGGTCTTGAAGACAACCAGGGGTCTTCAAGACTGCCAGGGGTCTTGAAGACAGCAAGGGGTCTTGAAGACAGCCAGGAGTCTTGAAGACAACCAGGAGTCTTGAAGATGGCCAGAAGTCTTGAAGACAACCAGGGGTCTTGAAGACAGCCAGGGGTCTTGAAGACAGCCAGAGGTCTATTGGTAATCCACCTTATGTATGCTGGGAGGCAGTTGAACAGTCTTGGGCCCCTGACACTTATTGCGTTGTCGCTCAGTGTACTCGTGGCACCGCTGCTTTTCATTCGTGGAATGTTGCATCTCCTGCCCAGTCTTTTACTGTCATAGGGAGTGATTTTCGTGTGCAAGTTTGGGACTAATCCCTCTAGCATGTTCCAAGTGTATATAATCATACTGTCCCTGCTCACCCATCAGTAAAATGGGTCCCTGAGTGTTACTGGACTGGTGTGGGTTGCATCCTGGGTGTTAGTGGACTGGTGTGGGTCGCATCCTGGGTGTTAGTGGACTGGTGTGGGTCACATCCTGGGTGTTAGTGGACTGGTGTGGGTTGCATCCTGGGTGTTAGTGGACTGGTGTGTGTCACATCCTGGGTTAGTGGACTGGTGTGGGTCGCATCCTGGGTGTTAGTGGACTGGTGTGGGTCACATCCTGGGTGTTAGTGGACTGGTGTGGGTCGCATCCTGGGTGTTAGTGGACTGGTGTGGGTCACATCCTGGGTGTTAGTGGACTGGTGTGGGTCACATCCTGGGTGTTAGTGGACTGGTGTGGGTCACATCCTGGGTGTTAGTGGACTGGTGTGGGTCACATCCTGGGTGTTAGTGGACTGGTGTGGGTCACATCCTGGGTGTTATGGACTGGTGTGGGTCACATCCTTGGTGTTAGTGGACTGGTGTGGGTCACATCCTGGGTGTTAGTGGACTGGTGTGGGTCCATCCTGGGTGTTAGTGGACTGGTGTGGGTCACATCCTGGTGTTAGTGGACTGGTGTGGGTCACATCCTGGGTGTTAGTGGACTGGTGTGGGTCACATCCTGGGTGTTAGTGGACTGGTGTGGGTTACATCCTGGGTGTTAATGGACTGGTGTGGGTCACATCCTGGGTGTTAGTGGACTGGTGTGGGTGGCATCCTGGGTGTTAGTGGACTGGTGTGGGTCACATCCTGGGTGTTAGTGGACTGGTGTGGGTCACATCCTGGGTGTTAGTGGACTGGTGTGGGTCATCCTGGGTGTTAGTGGACTGGTGTGGGTCACATCCTGGGTGTTAGTGGACTGGTGTGGGTCACATCCTGGGTGTTAGTGGACTGGTGTGGGTCACATCCTGGGTGTTAGTGAACTGGTGTGGGTCATCCTGGGTGTTAGTGGACTGGCGTGGGTCACATCCTGGGTGTTAGTGGACTGGTGTGGTCATCCTGGGTGTTAGTGGACTGGTGTATGGGCACATCCTGGGTGTTAGTGGACTGGTGTGGGTCATCCTGGGTGTTAGTGGACTGGTGTGGGTCCATCCTGGGTGTTAGTGGACTGGTGTGGTCACATCCTGGGTGTTAGTGGACTGGTGTGGGTCACAGGGTAAGTAAGTTTCGCTTCCGGTGTTATAACCTGGTGTGGGTCACCCTGGTGCTAGTAACTGGTGCGTCACATCCGGTGTGAACTGTGTTCCATTGTGGTGTTATGACTTTGGTCCCCATGGTGCTACGTCGACGGTGAGTCACACCTGGTATAGTTTGCTGCTGTGGTACAACAACAGGTGTGTATGGACGTGTGGTTTCGCATCCTGGTGTATATGAGACTTGTGTCCTCCGGGTGGTGTGATGGAGCTTGTGGGCAGGTCGCATCCTGGGTGTTAGTGGACTGGTGTGGGTCACATCCTGGGTGTTAGTGGACTGGTGTGGGTCCAATCCTGGGTGTTAGTGGACTGGTGTGGATCACATCCTGGGTGTTAGTGGACTGGTGTGGGTCGCATCCTGGGTGTTAGTGGACTGGTGTAGGGTCACATCCTGGGTGTTAATGGACTGGTGTGGGTCGCATCCTGAGTGTTAGTGGACTGGTGTGGGTCACATCCTGTGTTAGTGGACTGGTGTGGGTCACATCCTGGGTGTTAGTGGACTGGTGTGGGTCACATCCTGGGTGTTAGTGAACTGGTGTGGGTCACATCCTGGGTGTTAGTGGACTGGTGTGAGGTCCATCCTGGGTGTTAGTGGACTGGTGTGGGTCACATCCTGGGTGTTAGTGGACTGGTGTGGGTCACATCCTGGGTGTTAGTGGACTGGTGTGGGTCACATCCTGGGTGTTAGTGGACTGGTGTGGGTCACATCCTGGGTGTTAGTGGACTGGTGTAGGTCACATCCTGGGTGTTAGTGGACTGGTGTGGGTCACATCCTGGGTGTTAGTGGACTGGTGTGGGTCGCATCCTGGGTGTTAGTGGACTGGTGTGGGTCACATCCTGGGTGTTAGTGAACTGGTGTGGGTCATCCTGGGTGTTAGTGGACTGGTGTGGGTCACATCCTGGGTGTTAGTGGACTGGTGTGGGTCACATCCTGGGTGTTAGTGGACTGGTGTGGGTCACATCCTGGGTGTTAGTGGACTGGTGTGGGTCCATCCTGGGTGTTAGTGGACTGGTGTGGGTCCATCCTGGGTGTTAGTGGACTGGTGTGGTGCATCCTGGGTGTTAGTGGACTGGTGTGGGTCACATCCTGGGTGTTAGTGGACTGGTGTGGGTCACATCCTGGGTGTTAGTGGACTGGTGTGGGTCACATCCTGGGTGTTAGTGGACTGGTGTGGGTCACATCCTGGGTGTTAGTGACTGGTGTGGGTCAATCCTGGGTGTTAGTGGACTGGTGTGGGTCACATCCTGGGTGTTAGTGGACTGGTGTGGGTCACATCCTGGGTGTTAGTGGACTGGTGTGGGTCACATCCTGGGTTTAGATTCTAAGTTAATGTTTTGATTCTAAGTTAAAAGTGAACCTCTAAGTTATTGATGTTCTTTTGTTTGATTGTTTATATGTTGTTGGTTATGGAGTTTATAATATTATGTCGTCTATAATCAGAAATTTATAAATTAACACTCAGGTACTAAGTTGATAATTAGATTCAAAGACAATATTTAGTATCAATTAACATTCAGAACCTAAGTTAAAAGCACAAATTGTAATTCTCTGATGTTCTTTTGTTTGCTTACAGAGGTTTTGATTGTTGTGTTTATAATGTTGTGTCGTTTATACTTGCAGAAGTAAACATGGCCGCCGTCCGTCTCTTCTCTCTCACCAGATATGGTCTGTTTTTCTCTTACTTGTGGCTCCTTTTTGTTGATTTTGGGCTGTGATCACCGCCAGGAGGCTCTTGATCCTTGCAAGTGGAGCTAAACCTCCCCTTCCTCGGATCAGACGCGATTTTCGGCCGGTAAATAAGCCGAGATCGACTTTATTTACCGGCCAGTTATTATTTTTCTGTGACAAGCTTTATCAAGCTGTTATGGCTTTATCAAGCTGTTATGGCTTTATCAACTGTTGTGGCTTTATCAAGCTGTTGTGGCTTTATCAAGCTGTTATGGCTTTATCAAGCTGTTGTGGCTTTATCAAGCTGTTATGGCTTGATAAAGCTGTTGTGGCTTTATCAAGCTGTTATGGCTTTATCAAGCTGTTGTGGCTTTATCAAGCTGTTATGGCTTGATAAAGCTGTTGTGGCTTTATCAAGCTGTTATGGCTTTATCAAGCTGTTATGGCTTTATCAAGCTGTTGTGGCTTTATCAAGCTGTTATGGCTTGATAAAGCTGTTGTGGCTTTATCAAGCTGTTATGGCTTGATAAAGCTGTTGTGGCTTTATCAAGCTGTTATGGCTTGATAAAGCTGTTGTGGCTTTATCAAGCTGTTATGGCTTTATCAAGCTGTTATGGCTTTATCAAGCTGTTATGGCTTTATCAAGCTGTTATGGCTTTATCAAGCTGTTATGGCTTTATCAAGCTGTTATGGCTTTATCAAGCTGTTATGGCTTTATCAAGCTGTTATGGCTTGATAAAGCTGTTGTGGCTTTATCAAGCTGTTGTGGCTTTATCAAGCTGTTGTGGCTTTATCAAGCTGTTATGGCTTTATCAAGCTGTTATGGCTTTATCAAGCTGTTATGGCTTGATAAAGCTGTTGTGGCTTTATCAAGCTGTTATGGCTTTATCAAGCTGTTATGGCTTGATAAAGCTGTTGTGGCTTTATCAAGCTGTTATGGCTTGATAAAGCGAAACGTTACCACAATAAAAACGTCACGTTAATTGCATTTATTAACTTACTTTACATAGTCGGTAATCCTACCAACATTATTACACATCTGTTTATGAGACGTTGTCAATAAACGATCACGTTATACTGCTCATGTGTTTATATTTTCAGAACGTACAGCATAGGGCCGGAGACGTGGCTTATATACTGTAGTCGGGTAAGCGAAGCCGGAGGTGGCGTCGTCGTCATAGTGGTACCTGCCACTAGTCTTCAATATTTGTCCAACCTTCGGATGAAGACCTACTTAACCTTTAACCCGTAAATAACAAGAAAAAAAAAAAAAAAAAAGGCACAATACCGTGACTGGAACGATACATAAATAACCCGCACATAAAAGAGAGAAGCTTACCACGACGTTTCGGTCAAACTTGGACCATTGACAAAGTCACACTTTGTCAATGGTCCAAGTCGGACCGAAACGTCGTCGTGAGCTTCTCTCTTTTATGTGCAGGTTATTTGTGTACTTTAACCCGTAAACGGTCCAAACGTATATATACGTTTTTTCAACATTTGAAAGTATGTAAAAAAGTAGATCTTCATTTTGTTTTTTTTACATTTGAAAATGTGTAAAAAAAACTTTGATCTACTTTTTTTTTGTTATATTTGAAAATATGTAAAAAAAAAAACGTAGATCTACTTTTGTAGCACTACACATGTAAACATAGATCTGCTTGGACCGTTTATGGGTTAAACTGTCCAAACGTAGATGTACGTTTGCTCACATAGCGCTCCGAACGTACATCTACGTTTTTTTGCATTGTTTCTTATGGAGAAAATCAAGGTCGGAGCGTTACATGTGCAAACGTAGATCTACGTTTGGACACTTTAAGGGTTAAACTAATGGATGGTACCACTATGACCCCGCCTCCTCCTGCTTCGACTCGCCTGAATACAGGATATAAGCCACGTCTACGGCCCTATGTTGTACATTCTACAAGATTGATTGACTGAACACATCGACTCCAGACTGAGGGACTGATTACCTCAACCTCCTCCTCTCCTTACCCGTTTCTGCTTTGTATTGGACTGATGAAGCCACTGTGTGGCAAAACGTTTTCTTAATAAACATTCCCAGATGTTGCATAAGTGTCTCAATCATTATTATTTTTATTGGCTTTTGATCCAGGGGAGTGGAGTTGTCCTTCCTCTCCCTTGGATCAAGCATTGTAGTCTAATGCCTTTCCCCAGGTGCTCTATGACCCATCGGGTTTAGCACTTACCCTTATTATTGAAATAATAATAATAATAATAATAATAAATAAATAATAAAAATAAAAAATAATAATAAAAATAAAAAAAATAATAATAATAATAAAAATAAATAATAATAATAATAATATAAACTGAAGTAATAATATATAATAATAATTTAGTTAAGTTTGTTAATGGGAACAAATTAACTTGGGTTATCCAGGGATAACCTAAGGTTATCCTAGATTATCATAGGGTTATCCTAGGTTAAATTTAATGAATTAGTCACTATTGTTGAGTTTAAATATTTCTGCTATCTTGGATTATGTAGTGTTATCCTAGGGTTATCTAGATTATCCTAGGGTATACTTTAGTTATCTAGGTTATCCTTGGATTATCTAGGTTCTAGAATTAATCTATGTTTTTTTTAGGGTTCCCCAGGTCATCCTAGCATTAGTTAGGTTATCCTAGGATTATATAGGTTATATTAGGATGGTCTAGGTTATCCTAGGATTATCTAGGTCATTCTAGTATTCAAGGATAATGCAGGATACCCATAGATTGTACCTGGAGTTATCCTTCTGTCAGGGGAATGCCTTCTGCCTGACCAAAAGAACGGAAAAATGAATAATTAATAACTTGATGGATAATAATTACGATAATTTTCTAAAAATAAATAAAAATTGGCCGCTGTGATTCCAGTAGGATGTTGGAATGGGGATCTTATGCCCAGGATGGTCTTCTGATGATGTTTTAGAAGAAATGGTGTTAGTTATCCTGGTTGGTGCACCTGAACTACTGGGAACGCCTTCAAGTCTTGAACATGTATTCATTGGAGCAGAGGAGAGAGAGATACATGATAATATATACCTGGAAGGTACTCGAGGGCTTGGTCCCAAATCTGCACACTGCCATAACAACATACTGGAGTGAGAGATATGGGAGGAAGTGTAAAATAAACCCAGTGAGGAGCAGGGGTGCGGTGGGGACAATAAGGGAACACTGTATCAACATCCGGGGTCCCAGACTATTCAACATCTTACCAAAAGATATCAGAAACACTGCTGGAACAAGTGTAGAAGCCTTCAAGTGGAAATTAGACAAGTATCTTCACCAGGTACCAGATCAACCAGGCTGTGATGGATATGTGGGGCAGTGGGCCTCCAGCAGCAACAGCCTGGTTGACCAGGCAAGCACCAGACAAGCCTGGCCCATGGCCAGGCTCAGAGAGTAGAGAAACTCTAGAAACTCTTCAAAGGTATGGTGGTGCTCGTCCGATGTTCTGGAATTGCTGTCACTATTTGGTCGTAGAACCACAATTCAGATTTCAGAGGCGAGGAGTCGTAATGTCCCACTACGTCCTGTAGACAGGGATCTTCCTCCAATTAACTAATGTCTACCCTGGTTGACCAGGCCAGCAGCAGAGCTGATAATAAAGAAAATAACACTGGTTACATAAGAGTTAGATAAGTATAACATTGAAGAAAGACAAAGGGAGGTATTCAACTTGTATGTCATTACTGGTAACCAGGTAAATCAGTAACAATGAAAAGAAATACTTCTGGTAGATCACCTTACCTGATCACGTTAGGTTAGGTAAGGTTTGTCAGGAAACAGGACAAGTGTTTCCTGAGGCAGGTCTTAGTTAGATGATGACCTACCATTGGAGCTTTTGGTCATCTGACCGTGGCCTTCCACTGGCTTACCCCTCCACCCTTTTAAAAAATATGGCAGTTATAACCAACATATTAACTATGATTTACCTGATGGGGGAAGAGCGGAGGTCAGCCGCTAGATGGTCGTGTGGGTCTGATTACCAGCCGCACGACCATCAGCTGCTAGATGGTTGTGTCGGTCTGATTACCGCCCACATGACCATCAGTCACTAGATGGTTGTGAAGGTCTGATTACTGCCCGCACAACCATCAGCTGCTAGATGGTCATGCGAGTCTGAATACCACCCACACAACCATCAGTCGCTAGATGGTTGCGCGGGTCTGATTACCGCCCGCACGACCATCAGCTGCTAGATGGTTATGCGGGTCTGAGTACTGCCCGCTCGACCATCAGTTGCCAGATGGTCGTGCGGGCGGTAACACACTAATGGTCCCTGCGAGTCTGGGCATTCATAACTCCCACTTTCTAAGGGCTTTTCCCTCGCCCCTTCCTTATCCTAGGATTATCTACAATACCCTAAGGTTATCTAGGTTAGACTAGGATTATCCTTGGTTTTTGTTTTGTTATCTTTTGTAAAGGTTAAACGGTTATTCAGTTATCCTGGGTTATCCTAATGTTATTCTTGGCTACCGTAGGGTTATCCTGGGTCATCCTATTGTTGTAGGTTTATCCTACAGTTACCCTGGGTTATCCTGGGTCATCCTATTGTTGTAGGTTTATCCTACAGTTACCTTGGGTTATCCTAAGGTTATCCTAAGTTATACTGATGTTTTCCTAGGGTTATACTGAGGTTATTTTAAAATTATCCTGAGGATAAATCTCACTGTACCATTATTATATGCATTAATTTACATTTCTGCTAAATATCCATCTGCCATAATATTATCCTCAGCTTAAAGATTATCCTGAGCTTTACAAAGATTATCCTGAGCTTTACAAAGATTATCCTGTGTTTTTCAAAGATTAGGGCTTTACAAAGACTATCCTGGGCTTTACAAAGATTATCCTGAGCTTTACAAAGATTATTTTGGGCATTACAAAGATTATCCTGTGTTTTACAAAGATTATCCTGGGCTTTACAGAGATTATCCTGGGCTTTACAAAGATTATTGCAAGCAGCACACAGCCCATTCTAAGCCCTGCGAAGTTTATTCCTAGTCTTGCCATTGCAGGTAGAAGAGGTGGAGCACTGGGGTCGGCGGTGCACCGTGGCAGTGGAGTGATGGCGGTGCGTCACTGCTACAAGTTGGTGACCCCAGAGGAGCCCAGCATGGAGTGGTCGGACATAACCGACCGTGCCGCTGCCACCGTCTTCTGGACTGAACTGTGGCAAGGTTACACCACTCTCATGATCTCCAGTGTTATACTGTAGCAGAGTGTAATAATTAAAATAATGAAATACATATATATATATATATACATGTATATCCTCGCCTCACTTAGCGACATACTTGTTTACCGACGACTTGGACTTACGATGGGATCTCTAACCAGTGTGCGCAGCAAAATAATGTATATTAGAGCTGATTTCCCCTATTCTGTTTATTACAATATACAGTACACTACTGTATAAATATTTAAAAATATACCAGAAATGTTATAAATGGTGCAAAGGCGACATTAAAACAATATCATTGATGCTTGACACAAACCCATTACCATTATAGTATGATCCTCGCTTAGCCACGAATTCGTGTACCGATGTGGTCTTAGCAATGGAACTCTATTGTTAAGTGAGGAGAGAATCATTTCTCTTTTTGCTACTCTTGCAACATTGCACAGCTCCTAACACACAGAGAGGTGTGAAAATACTTGAGCTAATGATTTCCACCCCCCGTAGCTTGTCTTGCATTGTTAAGATTGCCTGTCTGTGATTGTTTGCACATACTTATTATTGTACCTACTACATACATAGAACACTTAACTCTGATATTAACCCTCCCCTCAAACATCTCCTTGCCAACCTCAACAGAACACATGACCATAACACAAGACACAGATCACTCTTTGATGTTCCTCGAGTCCATCTCACACTATGCAAAAACTCAATGCACATAAAAGGCCCTAAAATCTGGAATTCATTACCTGTAAATATAAAAGAAACACTGTCTGTTTATAAATTCAACTCTCTTCTCAAAAATCACTTACTCACTCACAACTAAATAAATACTGAATAATTGTATCTCATAAATGTCTAACCTGTGACCCAATCAAACTTTATTTTTTAATTACATTACCTACCATAATACTCCATTCTACTGAATGTTCAGCAACACAGTAAATGACCATATGACCTGTCTTTGTAATACTCACTTGTGCTTAATTGTTAACTGTTTACAATAATGTTTTTTACCACTGAATATATCATTGCTTAGTTAATCTTAAGTTAATTTTAAGCTGCCCATAATGCTCTACATACAAGGGGCTTTGGCATGCTGCACTTAACCTCTGTATTTCTCTGTACTTCTATGTATCATGTTCAAATTAATAAATAAAGAAATAAAGAAATATGTATTATGTATAATACACACACACAAATACATATGTACATTCATATATACATATACAGTGATCGCTGTTGTGTGTGATTTTTTTTTGTACCATTGTACCTTACATCAAGCGTTGAGCTCCAACTATGGGTCTGCCATCTGATTGAATATATTGCATGTTGCAGGAGCGGCAGTGACACTGGGACACATCTTCATGGAGCCAGCAACTATCAACTACCCGTTTGAGAAAGGTCCGCTGAGTCCCAGGTCAGTTGAGTTCCAGGTCAGTTCATTCCCAGGTCAGTTCATTCCTGGGTCAGCTGAATCCCAGGTCAGTTGAGTCCCAGATCAGTTGAGTCACAGGTCAGTTGATTCCCAGGTCAGTTCATTCCCAGGTCAGTTCATTCCTGGGTCAGCTGAATCCCAGGTCAGTTGAGTCCCAGGTCAGTTGATTCCCATGTCAGTTGAGTACAGGTCAGTTCATTCCCAGGTCAGTTCATTCCTGGGTCAGTTCATTCCTGGGTCAGTTGAATCCCAGGTCAGTTGAGTCACAGGTCAGTTGATTCCCATGTCAGTTGAGTACAGGTCAGTTCATTCCCAGGTCAGTTCATTCCCGGGTATTACAACCCAGGAGTCCAAATGGCCTGTTATCCCGGGTGTAAAGGGAGCAAAATAAACACAGCAGAAAAAGTTTAGACTTATATTATCCTTCACCAATTTAGAACAGCAGTATGTACACTATATACACTATGTACAGTGACAGGTATTAGTGCACTCCACGGTAAGCAAGGCAGAAATAGAAGCCACAAGAGAGCAGACCGTGCTTCAACCAGCTCTAGAATGGGAATGACAAGGGCAGACAGGAGAGTTGTACCCACATAACCTCTGCGATTGCCAAAACCTTCTTATTGGCTGGAACCTGGTTACTAGTTGAACGACGGGGCCCCATCGTCAACTCTCAGCAACCTGGTTCGCTGGTTGGGGGAGATAGCCTGTAAATGAGGGTGTGTACATGCGCCGAATAAAGGTTACGTACTCTTTGCATGCCACACCCCCACCCCAAGAAGACTCGGGATTAGGCTGCCACCTCCCAGTGGTAACCGTGCAGCCATGGCACAAAATAATGGGACCGCCTTTCCTCTCCACCATCCAACTCTTAGATAGAGCTCAGCTTTTCTCGTGACAAAAAGCCAAACCCTAAACTCAGAGTGAGACAGCAGTCAGTCAGGCTAGCATAGGTCCAAGATACAGGTGGACGGTAGCCCGCATCCCCTCACTAAAAAAAAAACCCCACACCAGGGGATAAAAAAAAAGAGCATGGAAGGGGTTACCACAAGTAACCCAACATCCTAACCTAAGTAAATAATGTAATTAGACTCTAGATAAAGAGTCTGCCAACATATTTTCTTTGCCGGCAATATATTTAATTCTGATGGAATAGGGTTGCAGTCGTATAGCCCAACGCATGAGCCTTGTGTTGTGGTTCTTCATGGCTTGGAGATATACTAGAGGATTGTGATCACTGTAGACTGTGACCACCTGCGATGTCTGGCCACACATAAACATCGAAATGCTCCAAAGCCAGTACCAGCGCGAGGGCTTCTTTTTCAATGGTAGAGTAAGCCCTCTGATGCGGCTGGAACTTAGCAGAATAATAAGCTACAGGCTGCAACTCCCCATTCCGTTTTTTTAATATACTGCCCAACCCCAGACCACAAAAATCAACCGTAATGAAAAAGGTTTGGAGAAATCGGAGACAAAAGAATGGGTGGTATACAATATTCTTTTTTTCTTTGTTTAAAAAACGTTGAAATCGGGGTCCAATTAAAGGGGAAATTTGTGACGGGAAGAAGGTAGAGGGGCTACATTATGGGAAATTCTTACGAACTTTTTAAAATCCTATCAGCCCGGAAACGTTGAAGAGATTTTCCGTCATGGGGGGAATGATAATCTTAAAAAGCAAAACTTTTGCAAGTTTAGGTGCAATTTACATACTACTTCATGGCCTAGAAAAAAATGATAGTGGGCCCGCCAAAGAAAAATTTAGATAAATTAAATGTTTAAAAGGAAACCCAAAAAGGCCAAAAAAAAGGCCTTAAGTTAATAGGTGTTTACCCAAAATATCAACACCACAACAAATCCTGGACGCTGCCGTGCCTTTAAGTCCCTTTAATAGCCTTGGGTAAGTTTCTGGAATTAAGAGGGGGAATTTTTCATTCCCAAAAGGGGGAACGTGTATTGATAATGACCTCCCCGGGAAATTTCAAGCGAGATTTCCTTTTTCCTTATCCGCAAAGGTACCCCGATAGTAAACTTTTAAAGGGGATCTAACTTGGACACAAAGTAACCCTTCCCACAAAGTCAATTCGCACACCCCGACGAGGAAGAAAGGTAAAACTCTTAATTGTACCCTTCACTACGGTTTCGTACATACAAACCCCCCCATCAGCTTCTTTAAAGGATGCACGGGGAAGCCCCTGGACAGATGACTCCTCCCCTAAACCTGCTTTTAAAAAAATTCACTTTTTCGAAGTAGCCTCTGCTTTTTAGGATTGCTCTGTAGGGGGAGAGTTTAATTGGGGTTTGAGTTTCCCCCAAACTACATCATGATAAACCTAAATTCATTTTTCGGGAATCCAAAAAAAATTAGGAAGATGTAAAGGTCAGTTAAAATTGTTTCTTGCATTTCAGATTCCCTCATTAAAAGGGGTAGGATCCTTTGGGAGGGCAGAATTTGAAAGTTTAACATTTAAATTTCAGAGATAAGTGCAAAGAATCAAGTGCCTCAGGGTAGGGAAGATCATTTCTGGACTTTTTTTTGGTGTATGAAAAGATTTTAATTGTTAATGTGGGAATTTTAGTTTTTTGGGGGCTTTTAATGGAGCTAAACCCCATAATTTACATCGATAATCACTTACAATCGCTAGTCCGTAAAACTAGCTTTCAAGGTGTGGCCAGGTATGGTTTCCGCACCAACACCCTTTCCCTGGATGGAAGGAGGGAATTTGCACTTCTGTCATACTTGTTTCATTTACTTTTAGCTGTCTTTAGGGGTTAGCCTTGGCTAACTACTGCCCCCTGCAACCTTGAAGACGGGTTGTAGAGGTTGAGCTAACTCTTCTCCCCTCCCCTCCTTCTTTGAGCACCGAAAAGGAAACCCGACATTGTGCCCAAAGATCACTCAACGGCTTAACCCGTAGACTCTTTTACCCTCTGTAGAAACAGCAACAAAAAGGGGGTTTTATCCCAGCTGTAGGGAAAATGCATGCAAAAAAATTCTCATCATGGTTTTTAATTCTATGGAAACTTCCCCAAGCGCCTTGGATGAGGATGATAGATGGATAAGTTGTGGATTATCCCTAACCCATTAATCTTCCCCAAAAGATTTGGCAAAAGTTAGTACCTTGATCCTTTGAAAAAGTTTTAGAAGCCAAAACAAGAAATGAATTTGTTAAAACTTTTGGGAAAACTTTAGTATTAAAATATGCATGGGAAAATTTCTTGGATATCTGGGGTTTCTTTATCCTAAACGTAAAAAAGTACCGATTTCCAACTTTTAACTTAGGTTGGACCTACACAATTTAAAAATTAACCCTTTTAGGGGCCGTCCGAGATCACGGCTTTACGTTCAGGGGGCCAAACCGAAAACTACGCCATAGCTCAGTCACTCTGTAAAGTGATGGGACTTTTGGGCCCCAGAATGAAGAATAATCTATGGGTAGTGTGCACCAATAAAACAGATCCCGCGCACACGTTATAATGAGAGAAAAAAATGAAATCATGATTTTTCGATTAAAACAGCAATTTTTCATGTTTTTTTTTTGTATGTTTTTTTTAGTTTATTTTCGATTTTTGGTCTCATTTGATAGAAAGGGAAAACATATTACAGAAATAGAGATATTTTGATTGGTTTTAGCACTGGAAAAGGCTTGAAAAATGAGTCAAAGTAGCGAAATTTAAATTTTTTCCGATATTCAAGATAAAAAACGACCCACACTCTAATAACTCACTGGGGGGTCTAATACATTACAAATTTGTTTATATATTTTTACAATTATTACAGTATTGCATAACAGTAAATCTTCTATTTTTTGGTGGAATAAAAATTCATTGTTAAAAAAAAAATCAAAATGGAAAATTTTTTGTAAAGCCCCAAAAACATAACTAAAGAACAAGGAAAAGTTTGTTAGGAAAAAATCCTACATTGTTCATTTTTGGGCCCTTTTTGAAAATTTGGAATATTTTGAACTTTTGGTAAATTGGGCCAAAAAACAATTTTCCCATCACTTTATTTTGTAGTTAAACATTGACTTTGGGGATTTCTTGTGCCAATCGATAGAATAAAGTAATACTAGGAAATGCTAAGAAAAAGGTTGACGGGAAAAATGTAATTCCTAAAAAAGGGATCAAAGTCGGGAAAAAACGCCCCTTCTAAATTCGCTGAACATCAAAATTGCGAGGCATAAATTTTGTCAAATTTTTTACCAAATTTCGTATTTTTTGTTTTATTACCTTTACAAAAAAATTCTAAAATTTCATAAGAAAAAATAAAAAATTTTTTTTTAAAATTCTGGACACGGTGCGTATCCAGATTTGGGGCCCTTTGGACCCGAAAAAGGGGGGGAAACTGCAAAAGGTTCTCCATCACAGGTATAGGTTGAAGGGAGGGTTTTAAAGGGAAAGTCCAGGGTTTCCCTACTTGCTGACATTTCGGCAACACCTAAATTATTTTCACATCTTTCTTTAAAATTTTGGGCCAATAAAATTCTTTTGTGATTCTTTCAATTTTTGTAATTCCCCAATGCCCCTAATGAAGTATTTTGACAAATTTTTAAAATTTAGGTCTATACTTTTTTGGAACCATAACCGTCAGACAATTGCCGGCCCTCTTCTCCTTACCAGTCCCCCATGCAGATCAAGTAATGTTTTAAGTTCAACTTACCGGGATGATCCAAAGAGGATTTACCCCTGGCTGCCTGAAAACGAATTTTAAAGAAGGGTCCTTTCGTTGCTCCTCCCGGAAGGGCAGTCCCTGGCAGGAAACAGAAGACTGGTAATCCTGCAACCGGGAATAGGAAGGGTTGATCGGGGTCTGTTCACTGATTAAGAGGCTTGGCCAGTTTTCCTCGTAAAACAAAGTGTAATCGAATCGGAGTCTCCAAGGGTAGGTCAACATTCTCGCCCAAAAACCCCTTGGGGTGTTTTCCCGAGTTTTGGCCAACCGGAGAAGAATTAATCATTTAGGTTTAGGGCAGCACTAACAGTTA